CTAGGACCAGGGCTTGAAATTGCACCAATCCTCAGAATCCCACCAGGCCCTGCTTTTGCCCCAGAATCAGACCACAAAACCCACCAATCCCAAGTCACCCTGGAAAGCTCCACCCTGCCGAGAAAATTTGCTGCTTTTTCTCACTAGAGGCAGCAACCCTCCTGGATTCTTCCTTTCCAATAAATCTCTTAAGTGAGGTTTGTTGTGAGGTGTGATTTTTTTTTTTTTTTTTTTTTTTTTTTTTTTGCTGTAACAACTTTTGCAGGAGCAGGGAACTGTATCACTTTTGCTGGAGAAACTTTCCCCTAGTAGAGCTGAAGCCCTCTCCTACTAAAGCAGAGTTGTTAAACTTTCATTGGGGGAACCTTTCCCTGGAGTAGTGCTGTAAACTTCTATGCTTACAGTGACTCTGTGATGTTCTTTGGCTCCCATCTGCAATGCTTACAGCAGGGGTTCCCAGGTCTCAGGGAGGCCCAGAGGAAAAACAAAAACCATTCAGTCATTCAGTGAGTTGTTACCATACTCAATGGGGGTCAGGAGTTTAGCTTGGTCAAGGCCAAGGAGAGCTTTGGTACCTGGTACCAGAGCATTTGTGGAGGCCAGAAGGCAAGGGGGGTGGGGTGGGAGGGTTGCCTCATCCACAGGAAAGAGTTGGAGAATGGAGTCACAAAAGCCTTGAGGGCCTAGTGGATCTGTAGGAGTACAGGAAACTCTGAAGGGGAGGTGAGAGAAGACAGCAAACATCTGGTAGCACAGTTGGGCCTAAGAAAATGGCAGAATTACAACTCCAATGGTAAGGGGATGGGGTTAGGTGAAGAGGGCCAGCTGCCACCTCCAAGAGTACCAAAGACGTGCTGAAAGCTCAATGGTCACTTCTTCAGACTCAGCGAAACCTTTACACTAATTTGTCTGCTGATGGAAGGGATGCAAGGAATCAGTAGACTGGAGATGAGGAGATGAAGGATAGCTTCCTAGTGCAGCTTAGACCCAGATGGAGAATGCAGGCACCAGAAGAGCCATCAAGTCATGGCACCAATGTGCAGTTCTGAGAGGAAGGGTATCTTGACAGCTGAAACCCAAGGATTCCCACAGTCACCCCTCAAAACAAACCTCACACAAGATGTTTATTGAGAGGGGAAAACCCAGGAAAGTGGCTACCTCTGCTTGGGAGAGAAGCAGCAGAGAACTGAGCAGAAGACAGGGTTTATTATATAGGATTTCCGGTGTGTGTGTTTGTGGTTTTCCATGGTTGAGATTTCCACAGTAGAGTTTGGTGGGATTTCAAGTCCTGAGCTTGGGCTTTTTACTCTGTAGGATGGAAGGTGGATATTAAGGCAGAGTGTTCTGCGGGTGATACCTTGGGGTAGGAGTTCCTCAGGGGAATGGCCTGGCCACTTCATGCTTCAAGGGGCTTACAAATGGGGAGGAAAGAAGAAGACAAGAGAGGGAATAAGGGATGAGATAGCTAAAATTAAGGGCCATCTCAGAGTAAATATGGAAAGCCAATACAGCAGAAGCTTCCTAAAATATACACATATATGGTGATTCAAACGAAACTGCCAAGTAATGGGGAAGATAGAGCCCCAACCATCCAACTCATCACCAAATGAAACTTCCAGTTCTGAGATTTGCATCACATCTAATTGAGTTGTTGGCTAAAGAGGTCCCATAGGAACCCAGGCAGTTGCCAAGACTACAGATTGCTCTTTAGAAACTGATGTCAAGGTTCCATTGTTGAAGACAACACCAACACAACTGATTGAACATGGTGAAATCAAGCTGGTGCCTGAATAGAAAGAACCTTCATTTCTATGTGGTAGTGTCTTTGGCCCAGGAAAGTACTCTGCATGCTACCAGAACACCAACCCAGCCAAATTCTTTGACTATAATGGTGTCCTGTCTGCAAGGCATGTTAGAGCAAAGCTTATAGGAGTAACCAACAAATATCTGATTTGACTTGAGGCCTGATGAACCAACCCATTCTGACACTAGTTGGGTAACCAAGAACCTGAGACTAGATGGCCCAGAGACCTAGGCAAAAACCAAATACTACTATTCTAAAAGAAAACAGACCTCAAAAACCTATCAATAAAATGACTCCAAATAACACTCTGCTATACTTATTGATCAGTCCTTGCTCAGCAATCATCAGAGAAGCTCCTCTTGCAGCAAATGGGAACAAATAGAGAACCACAGCCAAATATTATGCAGAGAATGAGAGACTTTGCAACACTAAACCCCAGAGGGGATGTCGCCATCAAATCTCTCCCCTTGGAGCTCAGTGAACCCAGCTAAAAAGGAGGAATAAAGAGTGTAAGAGTCAGATGGGATAAAAGATACCAAGAAAATGAAGCCTTTCAAATCAACATGATTAAAGTTCATAAGAACTCAGAGACTGGGGTAATATGCACAGGACCTGCAAAGGTCTACCTGAGGTCTTCTGTGTGTATATTATGGCTCCCAGTTTAGGGTTTTTATGAGACTTGCGAGTGTCTGCACAAGTGGGTATCTGATTCTTGTGCATTCTTTTGGGCTCTTTTCCTCCTAGTTGTTAGCACTGTGGTAGTTTTATTTTATCTTATATTTTTGTTATATTTTATTATATCTTATGTCTTTGATCAGTTTATCTGACTTATGATCAACACCTTTACATAAATATGATTCAAAAGAAACGTCAAATAGGACCCTCTTAATTTAGATTTTCTTTAATTGTTGAATTTCTAGAGTTCTTTATAATAGAACTTTATAATCTCTTTTCATATTATGATTAACAAATATCCTATTTTAAGGTTGTATTGTCACTTGATGGTATCCACAAAAACACATTCATTTTATTTTATTTTATTTAGTTTTTCAAGACAGGTTTCCTCTGTGTAGCTTTGAAGACTATTCTGAAACTCACAGAGAACCGCCTGCCTCTCATCCTGAGTGCCAGGATTAAAGGTGTGCGCCACTGCAACCCTGTATACATTTTCAATTTTTATAAACTATTTATCCCTTTCTTTCCTGTATTATATTTAAAAATTTATTCACTATTTCTAATCACTTAAAAACTAAACTAAGGGGGAGTGATGGGCCAGCAGTTAAGAACATTGGTTGTTCTTCCAGAGGACCCATGTTTCCTCCTAACACCCACATGGCAGCTCATAAATGTAATTCTAGCTCTGGAGGAAATTACACTTTCTTCCTGCTTCCTTGAGCCAGATTTTAAATGAGGACATCAAGTTGTTATAAGAATTATTTGTGGAATGTATTTTCCCCATTGAATGGTTTTCACATCCATAGTTAAAAAGTATGTATCGGTGAACTTTAAACATCACAGTTATTTTTGGAGATTCAATTCTATACCATCAATTTGTATTTTTTATTTTTATGCCAGTACCTCTTTAAAAAAAATTTACTACAATTTTGTAGTATATAATCCTTATTGCAGTTACATGTTATAGGAAATTTATCTTTCTTATCACATGTAAGTGTAGAGATCAGTGGCATAACTATTCACATTGGTACATAATCATTACCATTACTATCTCCATTACTAGTCATCCCCAATGTAGTAGATTTTCAAAGAAAAAAAGAATGACTAAGAGGAACTCTGTTCTTCTATTACAATACTGCTTTGGTTATTCCTGGTCTCTTATATTTAAATATTAACTTTAGCATTAATTTGTCAGTTTCTGCATTAGAGGCCCTGTGTGGTTTCAGTGAGAGAACTCTAGAAAACTTCCACAGAATTTCCTTAACTTCCATAGCTCCAGTTTCCATTTGTTCATATATTTATAACATATAATCCTTTCCCCAAAGGATGCTGGATTTTGTCAAGTACCTTTTTGGCAACCATATAGGTGTTATTCTTTATTCTACTAACATTCTATTACATTCGTTTTTCTACATATTAAACAAATCACAAATTCCTAGGATAAATCAAGCCAAGTCTCAGATTTCTATTATAAAAAATGGCCAAATAAGCATACAATTGAACATAGTGCTATGCTAATAGCTGCTGCTACAATGAAGACGGGGAGTTAAGAGAGCAAGATGGAAGGTGTAATTGTAACTATTATCTGGGTAAAACTTATCAGAGATAATACTCATTTGATCAGAAAACTGAATGGTGAAAGGAGACAATTCCAGGGGGAAGCAGGCCAGGCAAACTGAAAATGGCGATAAGTAGGAACAAGCTTAGTGTCTTTAAAGTCATAGCCTCAACAGCAAGATGTCCACAATGGTCGAAGCAGTGAAGATGCCAACAGAGAACGTGCGGGTCACCATAGAGAAATTTCAATCCCTTCACAGTTGTAAGAAGAAAGCAAGCATTTCCAGCACACTTTCTCAACCTGCTTAGGCAGCTTTACCCTGACCCCTCCCTTTACCTTAGAAAATCTAGAATCTTCTCTGGGTCACGATTCTTCTTAACCTTCTCAGAAAGCCAAGCACCTCTCGGTCTCTGCTACCTCTGATTAGTCAGTGAAATAGTACTGATTTGTGTTGGGCGGCTAGGGAGCTAAGGTGTCTGTTTGTTTCACACACCGTTTCTTTGACAGCTGTAGCCCCAGCGTCTATCTTTGCTGTGGTTAGTTAACCAATGTCGAATGACAAGAACAGCTCTCAAACTCCTTCAGCGCTGCGGGCTCGGTGCTGTACACTGAAGCTCTGCGCAGTGGCTGCCTTGGGACACGGGCAGCACCCTTAACCTCAGTTCACCGTGCGACCCCTGGCAGGGCTTGCATTTCAGGGACACAGCTTCCTGGGAGACACGTCCCCCAGGTTGCCAGGCGCCTCCCTGTGTTCCTCCTTGCAGGAGGGAGGCGACCTTCCCGAACTCTCAGCACACACTTTCGGGCCTGATCAGAGACCCCCTTTACCCCCCTCCTCCTCCTCTGCGAATTTGCAACAGCGATGCCCCTGCAGTCTGGTCCAGCTCCCGCGCAGTGCACCCAGCGCCCAGCCCTCCACCCTCGCCCTTCCTTCCCAGCCATTGTCCTTCCCACCCCACTCACCCAGGATGCGAGTGACGCCCAGGGTCAGCTTCTCTAGGTGCGGCTTGCCACCGGCTTGCAGTGGGGGCGGCGTCTCCTCCATAGCACGCGTCCCCACACCGCGCGCCCCGGCGGCCACAGTGACCGGGGCCGCCGAGGAGAGCCGGCTTGCCGGCTGACGTGCCCGACCCCGCCTCAGCTCTGCGGCCGTCGGGCTCACGGCATGCCGGGAGTTGTAGTTTTCGGTGCCTGAGGGCTCCGCCAGGAGAGGATGGGCGGCCCGGGCGGCTCTGGCAGCAGCAGTTCCGCCAGGCGCTCGTTCCCGCGACCCTGGCCTGGGCCTCAGCTCACATCGCCGCGACCCCGCCTCGCCTCGGCCGGGAGCCTCTCCCCTCGCCAGGGCCAGAGGCGCAAGCGGGGGCGGGCCTCTGCGCCGAGCGGCCAATGGGGACTGAGCGTGGCGGCCGGGGCGTGGCAGCCCCCGGCGCGACGCCTGGAGTGGCGGTTGTTTCAAGATGGCGGGTGCGGCGGGCCCCTCCCTGCCGGGCTCTGCGTTCTGGAGCCGCGACTGTATCCTTTGCCCCGCTGCTGGGGGCGCCGCGCCCTCCTGGGTGCCGAGGGTGGGGGGCGCGAGGCTTTCAGTGGGCCCGAGAAGCCCGGCGCGGACCCCGGGCCAGGGACGGGCCTTTCCACTTCGAGCTTGTTGCCCCCCCCGCGCCTGGCGACGAGTCGTCACTAGGTGGGAATTCTGGATCGTGAGAAAACCCGTCCTCTTTGACCGTGGGTTCTGCAAAAAGGAGCCTTTAATGGGGACGTCTCGGGCAAGGCTGGAAAAGCTCCTCTGCCAACCCTTGCCAGGAGATCACTGGCAGGCTGAGGATGAGAAGTAGATTTGTGGTGCTAGGGACAGCAAATGTGGGTGGACACACTTTGCTAGCTGGGCAAGGAGTCTTTTTCTCTTGTCACTAGGGGCAAATCAGGGGTAATTTCATTTGCCTCTTGGTCCTTTAGTGATGCTGTGTCTTCTAGTGTGGCTTTATTAGAGGTATAGGTTTCACTGGGACGAGTTTTGCTGGTGCTAGTTAGGGCATACGAGAGGAAGTGCCTGGAAAGAACATTGACTTACTAAATTGTGAGCCACCCTTGTTGGAAATTGAAATTTGGAGATGGTTTTTGCTTGGGAAGCCGTGGAGCTTTCTAGTCACGCAGTAGTTCGAATTCCCGGTTCAGTAACTGATGAGATTTCACAGTGGATCATTTCTAGGATTAGGTTAGCTCATGCATCCTAACCTTTTATCTTGGTTATGTACTTCCTTGCTAGAGGGGCATTACTGGAGAGGAAATGAAATCAGTGTTCCCGAGTGCCTGAAAAGAGGCCAGGTGCTTTGCTAGATGTGGTGATGACATTGTTTTAGGCATTACTGTTACCTTTGGAAGAATCATTCTGGACATTCTATTCTTCTTAGCTCGCAGTGAAACTTAGAAAATTGTATTACCAGTTTCCTTTATTAAGTTACTTAAGTTCGAGTTTCCTGTGTGCAGACAGGAATACTTCTGCATTCTGTTGCTGTGTGTTTAGTGTTGTGCATTTACTACACAGAATTACTGCTTGTCTCTGATAGGTGGGGCAGAGCAAATGAAATTACCTCATGTACTGTAGAAGAAAGCAGACCAGTGCATTCTCAAAGCAATTTACTTTTCTTCCCTTTACCTATTAGAGTTGAAAAGCAAATATGTACACCAGAACCACTGTACTGAATTAGGAAGTCGGGAAATTGGGATCAGTCTTTTCCTTAGAAAACAGAGTTATTTGCTTATAACAGCTAATGGTATTTTTCTGATATTCAATAGAGGAAATGACAGTCTGTTTCATTAGGACTGAATAAATTAACAATGTGTGGCCCCAAACCTTTGCTCTTGTTGTTAGCAACCTTTTACTTATTTATGTAGTCATTAACACTCACAATTTGTAATAGAAGTAATAATATATTCCCTGTGTTTTATACTTTCTCATGCATTGGATAGTGTAAAATATTCAGATCTACCCACTAATGATGAGGAATTGAAATTGTATGGGAAAATGTGATGGTAATTAGGTTCTGTAGAAATTCATATATAAAAAAAGAATTGCAAAATTACTGGTATTGCCTTTTTCCTCAACCTACTCCATCTAATGACCAGCTAACACCCAGCCTCTGATAATTTCAGTCTAAATCTCCATAGGGCATACAGCTGTATTAAATGTACATTGTTGCTATTTGTTGAAAAATATAATAGTTATGAACCATTTGGCCTTTGGATCTCAATTTCTTTCAGTCATATTGATGACTATTTGCCAACCACTCCAGAATAAAATTTCCACTAGAAAAAGCCAAATAGTATGCACCTATGATCTTGTATTCTTTGCACATTAGTGAATGAAAGATTTTCACTGCTTCACATAAATGATTAAATAAATGTGATTGAGAGATTTCTCAGTCCTTGAAGGCTTTTTATGATGGGTTACTTCACTCAGGATGGATTCTTCAAGTTCTATCCATTTGCCTGAGAATTTCAAGATTCCATTGTTTTTTCCACAGAGTAGTATCCCATTGTGTAAATGTGCCACATCTTCTTTATCCATTTTTCAGTTGAGGGACATCTAGGTTGCTTCCAGGTTCTTGCTATTACAAATACTGCTGCTATGAACATAGTTGAACAGATGTCATTGTTGATGGATGTGGATCATTTGGGTATATGCCTAAGAATGGAATTGTTGGGCCCAGTGGTAGACTGATTCCCATTTTCCTGAGGAACAGCCATACTGATCTCCAAAATGGCTGTACAAGTTTGCACTCCCACCAACAGTGGAGGAGTGTTCCCCTTTCTCTATATCCTCTCCAGCCTAAGCTGTCATTGGTGTTTCTAATTTTAGCCATTCTGACAGGAATAAGATGGTATCTCAGAGTTGTTTTGATTTGCATTTCCCTGATAGCTAAGGATATTGAGCACTTTCTTAAATGGCTTTCAGCCATTTTGGATTCCTCTAGTGGGAATTATCTTTTCAGCTTTGTACCCCACTTTTTAATAGGGATATTTGGTGTTTTGTTGACTAGTTTCTTGAGTTCTTTGTATATTTTGGAGATAAGCCCTCTGTCAGATGTGGGGTAGGTGAAGATGTTTTCCCAGTTTGTGGGCTGTGGTTTGGTTTTGTCAACTGTGTCCTTTGCCTTACAGAAGCTTGTCAGTTGAAGGATGTCCCATTTATTAATTGTTGATCTCAGTATCTGTGCTACTAGTGTTATCAGGAAGCAGTCTCCTATACCAATTTGTTCAAGGGTACCTCCCACTTTCTCTTCTAAGAGGTTCAGTGTGGCTGGATTTATGTTGAGGTCTTTGATCCATTTGGAATTAAGTTTTGTGCATGGTGATAGACATGGGTCTCTCTACAGTCTTCTACACACCATCCAGTTGTGCCAGCACCATTTGTTGAAGATGCTTTCCTCTCCCCATTGTATACTTTTAGCTATTTTGTCAAAAATCAGGTGTTGGTAGGTGTGTCGGTTAATATCTGGATTTTTGATGCAATTCTATTGGTCTACCTGTCTTTTTCTGTGCCAATACCAAGCTGTTGTCAGGACTATAGCTCTATAATAGAGCTTGAAGTCGGGGATGGTGATGCCTCCTGAAGTTCCTTTATTGTACATGGTTGTTTTGGCTATCCTGGATCTTTTATTTTTCCATATAAAGTTGAGTATTATCCTTTCAAGGTCAGTAAAGAATTGTGCTAGGATTTTAATGGGGATTGCATTGAATCTGTAGATTGCTTTAGGCAAGATTGCTATTTTTACTATGTTGATCCTACCCATCCAAGGACACGGGAGATCTTTCCATTTTCTGTTACCTTCTTTAATTTCTTTCTTTAAAGACACAAAGTTCTTGCTATATAGGTCTTTCACTTGTTTGGTAAGCATTACCCCAAGATACTTTATGTTTGTGGCTATTGTAAAGGTTATGTTTCTCTGATTTCTTTCTCAGCCACTTTATTGTCCATATATAGTAGGACTACAGATTTTTTCAGTGCAGAATTCTACCAGGAATTCAAAGAAGAGCTACCAATACTCCTCAAATTGTTCCACACAATAGAATCAGAAGGTTCATTACCAAACTTTTTACGAGGCTACAATTACCATGGCACCCAAGCCACACAAAGACACAACTAAGAAAGAGAACTACAGACCAACACCCCTCAAGAACATTGATGTAAAAATACTCAATAAAATACTGGCAAATCCTAGAAAACATCAGAGAAATCATCCACCATGACCAAGTAGGCTTCATCCCAGGGATGCACAGATGGTTTAACAAACTAAATGGAGAGAAACTCAGTGCAATTCCTCTAAACTCAGGAACAAGACAAGGCTGCCCACTCTTTCCATATCTCTTCAATATTGTACTTGAAGTTCTAGCTAGAGCAATAAGACAACAAAAGGAGATCAAGAGAATACAGATTGGAAAGGAAGAAGACAAACTGTCACTATTTGCAGATGATATGATAGTTTATATAAGTGACCCAAAAAAACTACCAGGGAACTCCTACAGCTGATAAACACATTCAGCAAATTAGCAGGATACACGATTAACTCTAAAATGAATCTCTTTTATGTAGTGTTAAATTTAGCAGATATGCTTGAGGTAAAGAATATTTGGCAAAATTAAGTCACCGATAGCACTTAAGACAGGAGAATTGAATAAGATCACCAGTAGAATAAAGAAAAGTATAAAATCCCTCTAAATCAGGAGCCCTGGGATTCTCCAAAGTGACAAAGAATGGAGAAATTGAAGGGGGAGGAGCAGGGATTATTACAAAAGTAGAGGAAATTTGTGAGTGTAGTATATCACACTGAAATTTTAATGAGTGGTCATTTATATAAAATGCTATTGATAGAGCAAATCCAAAGAAGTCTATGAATTAATTGATAAGTTTACCAATATAGGGCATTAGAAGTATCTTTATTGAGTTAATAGAATCAAAGCCTGATTGGATAGGTTCATGACTGATTAGCACAGGAGGAATTAGAGACAGTGGAATGTCGCTTATGAGATGTCTGTAAAAGGGGAAAGAAGGGCAGTAGTTGGAGGGGATGCAGGGTTAAGGAATTTCTTTGTCTTTTCTGAAAAGAGTAAAAAAGTAGTAGTACATCTTTAATGCTAATAGGAACACTTAATAGCAGCGATACCCTTAGGAGAAAATTGTATGTGTGTGTGTGTGTGTGTGTGTGTGTGTGTGTTTATGTGTAAGGACTCCATGGCCTTTCAGGGCATGAACACTTCTGTAGCAAGAAGGGAAGATGGGGAAGGTCTTTACAGTGTGAGTTCTTAAGGAAACAGGAAACAAATCATCAGCTGAGAGTAAGACTGGTAGAAGTGTGTGTGTCAGGATTGAATGAGGAGGAGAAGGGGAGAAACATTCGTTTGAACTTAGGAAGCTGAGTAGGGGCCCCAGTGTCTACTCAGGCTTTTCCCTCCCAGTTGTGAGTAGGCTTTTGGTGGATGATCTAGAAAATCCAGGACGTTCTTGGAGCCACCCTGCATCTATCTGTAATTAAAAGTACTGCTTTTAATTACATATTTTGTACCCTTGTCTTGGATTATTTTTCTTGTTTGTTTATTTTCAAGAACATTTCAGAAATCACACATTTATTGAGTGCCTGCTGTGTAGAAAAAGCTCTGTGTTAGTCATAGAGGATATAAGGTAAAAGAATGGTTTCTGTGGCTCAGGAGACCATACCATTTTACTTCATAGAGCTATTTTCAGATTGGTTATTGATGAATTTAGAATTGGCTTCCAAGGAACAGTAATTCCAGTTCTCCAATATGGTCAAAACTCATTCACAGTGTTTGAAGAAATTGAAAACTTATGGGTGCGTATTATCAGCCAACATCTTTTTGTAGGTATTTATTTCTTTGAGACAGGGTTTCATGTAGTAGAGACTGGCTTTGATCTCTTAATCTTCTGCCTTCTTCCCCTAAGTACTGGGATTATAGGTCTGTACCAACATACCTAGCCTACCAACCCAAATCTTAAAGTTGTGATAGATAGCACATGTGTTGTAGAAGGCTGTGAGAAACCACCCAGTAGCTCAGGCAGTGGGTGCCATCTGAGATTTTTTTGATCTTCAAAGCTAATGCCTGTCTTGGAATTATATTGTTCTTTGTGCCTAAAATAACTTTCAGCTTCTCCATGGTGTGTAACTCTTTTTTTTTGCAAAAGGAAAGCAACATAATATACAAAAGTAGTCTATTTGAGAACAAGTGTGAGGGAAAGGTTCATGGACTACCTGGCTTCTAATATTTTCTCTAAACACAAGGTTATGACTATTTAAAGTTGAACTTCTATAAAATGCTCATTTTTCTAGTTTTCTTATTAAGTTATAAATTCTCACATCAGAAGAGATGATAATTTATTACATATATACACGGGTATCTCATGATGTTTTTTTAGTATTTTCCTTCATGTGGTCCACAGTTTCTGATGAAGAGCAATCAGTAGTTTATGTTCCAGGTATGCCATCTGTGTTAAAGTTCTTGAAGCTTCCATTGTTTCTTGTAAGGAGAAAGTTAAACATTGGGGTAGTCTTGTATGTGCAATTGGATATAGAACAGTTCATTTAACATAAATTTAAACATAATTTTTAAAAAACAAATTAAAATGCAAATGTTTTTGAATATTTGACTATATCCTCTTATGATTTGAAATGTTGGCTCTTCTTAGAGTCTGCCTCAGTGAGTCAGCATTTATGATTTATAAGGTACTTCATTTATTAAAGAGAAGAGATTCTTTTTGAAAGTTTACATATCACACCTCAAAAGAAAATATGAAAAATTGATCCAGGTTAAATAAATGAGTCTGTATGTTTACCAATTGTTCAGTTGGATGAATAGTCACACAGAATCATTGAAGGTACTCAGGATGAAAACCTGCTGATTCTTGGATGTTTAATGTCATCTCAGTGTATTGTAATTTATTGTTTTTAATATGATCTACAAATGTTCATAGTATTTCATCTAACTGAATTATTGAATTTTCTTTAAAATAACCTTTATGTATTTGTACTCATGCCAGCGTGTGCACACATGCACACACACACACACACACACACACACAAGCAGACTCACAGGTTTTAAATTAAAATTTAATAAAGTATTTCTCATCAGGTCCCATAAAGTTCAGGATACCAAGAGAGGGTTAATGGGGAGTATGGGGAAGCTGAAAAGATTAAGATCAAATATTGAAGTCTTTTTAAATGAACATTCTTAGGACTCTCCTCAGAAGGAAATACAAGATCAAGACTCAAGTTGATAAATCCAAAAGTTGATGTTAAAGTTAAGACTTGCAGGGTGGCTGATGCTTCCATCACCATGGAGTCTTTAAAGGGTGCAGGAGATTCGGTAGCTGAACAGGTCAGTGATCTTTTTTTATTTGTTTGTTTGTGTGTGTGTGTGTGTGTTCCTGCAGGGGAGGGGGTGGAGGTGGTTGTGGGTACACACGTGTGTGTGTACATGTGTGAAGCCAGAAGTTAGGTACCTTCCTCATCATCTACTCTTCTACCATCCTACTTTGCTGGGTTTTTTTTTTTTTTGGTGGGGGGGCAGTGGAAGAGGGGCATCTTTTGTTTGTAACACAGGCCTCTTATTGAACTCAGAGCTCAGCCTGGTCAGGGTCTAGGAGGGATTCACCTGTCTCTGTCCTTTGCACCTCCTCTAGTTGTACAGTTACAGACAAGTGCTACTATGTGCTCATTTGAACTCAGGTCCTCATTCATGCTCGAGTAACAGGCACTTTACTGACTGAGCTGTCTCCCTGGCTTGTTAGGTTTTATACATACTGATCAATAAAGACAGTCCTTTATTGATATAATAAAAACAAAGTCCTTTAAAAGACGTTATGTTTGTATCTGTAGAAGACACAGAAATTTTTGTGGCCCTCGATAGTGCTAAGTATCAGTGTAAAATATCTGGACTTCTTGAGAGTTTTGCTTCAAAATGTATAGATGTGTTCTAAGCCTTAGCTAAGAATATGTATTATCTACTGTGTCTCAAAAGATTTACATTTTACATGTTTCCTTTTTCTGGCATTCATTAGTAAGTCAAATTCACTATTTTTATTGTTAAGTATCCTTTATGTTTTTATTTTTCAAAATTTATTAGTTGATGGCTGATACTTTTATATTAATAAAGCTTATATAAGGAAAATTGCATTATTATGACTCACTTAGAAAACACGTTTTTATTAATTTTTTTTGTTCTAGAAAAACAAAGTTTTGTTTTGTTTTTTGTCTTTTTTTTGAATCAGTGTCTCACATATACCAGGTAGGCCTTGAATTTACTATGTAACTGAGTGTGGCCTTCACCTCATGCTTTCCTTGCCTCCCTCCCCCCCCCCCGCATTCTCCCATCCCCCAAGTACTGGGATTGTAGCAAAACTCTTGCTTTTCTTTCTTTATATGTTTTTTATATTTTGTATGTGTTATATCTGTCTATGTGTGCGTATTGATGTGTATGGAGCCTGAACTTGACATTAAGTTTCTTTCTCAGTTTTTCTCTACTTCATTTATTGAGGCAGGGCATCATGTTGTACCCAGAGATGGCCAAATCCAGCTAGCCTAGCTAGCTGTTTTTCATAGGGGATCATCTGATTTTGCTTCCCAACTGCTGGGGTAAGAGGTGGCCACCATTGCCTGCCTGGTTTTTATGTGACTCCAATGACCCTAACTCTTACAATACTAGCATTGTTTGTCCCCTGACCTGCCTTTCCTGCCGACAGTTCTTGTTTTTTATAGGCCAGTGATTAGTTTTGCCCTTTTCTTTGTCTTCATAATGGTATCTGTACATTCCTTTGACACATGTCTTTTTCTGTTTGTTTAATCACAATATTTCAAATAAAATTCACTTTCTTGTAATTCTGCTATTGTTAAATTTTCTTTCCTCAATCAAAGTTGATATTAGTGTTTGTAATCTGTGGTTCATGGGCAGAATCTTCCTTCTGCTTATGCTGTGTGACTTTTTCTGGGGAGAACTGATCAATCTTCTATCATCCCAGACAAGACACTGACAACAGACTAAATTATTTCATCCCAGTCTAGCTTGGTGAATCAGTGAATTTGCTAGGATTACTTATATGAGCATGAGTGACTTCAAGGCAGCTACATCACCGAGATCTACCCTACTATGGGTGACATCTCAGAGAAGTTATACCTTGGAGGTCCCAGCTCAACTTGAAGGCAGCAACCCTCTCCTCAGAAACTGTGTCCTGGTTTTAGAATTTTGGGGAGTGATATAGCTTTCTGAGTTGCCCTTTCTGAACCTTGGAAGTTTCTGTGGAATCCTGAGACTTAGGCATCTTCCATCCCTCAAAAACAGGGCTTCATTTTGGAGGAAGCAGCTACACAGCAGCTTGTTTTGTAAATCCTTTTTTTTTTTTTCCCTTCCCAGGAATGCTCATTTTTTGAGGTATTGTCTGTGACAGCCTTTGGGAATCACACAAATACCCCCAAACATTTACTGTCAGGCTAGTTGCAGAAAAAGTTTCACAATTCCTAATGTATAATTTTGGAGACATTTTTGGTATCGATTACTGATGATTGTCTGGTAGTGAACAGGATTTGGTGGTGAACCCCAGAACAAAATGTCTATATTGATGGCGTGAGGTATAGAAATGGCAAGTTGCAGTGTTTGTGTTGGTATTAGCACTGCAGTGCACCCAGAAAGGCCATAAATGAAAGCCACTAGCTAATTATACTTCTTTCAGCTGTCATGTTGTTCCACTGGCACAGTTTTCAGTTTTATTATGTAGCTGTGATGAAACACCGACCAAAAGTAACTTGGGGAAAAAATTGTTTATTTAGCACACACTTCCAGGTCATAGTCCAAGAGGGAAGACAGAACAGGAACTTAAGCAGAAATGTCAAGCAGAATCCATGGAAGAATGCCATTTGCTGGCTTGCTCCCTGGCTAACTAACTAACTAACATGTCACCACTTATTCAGTCATTTTAACTGAGAGACTTAACTGGAAAGATGTGTCAGCATTTTAGCACTGACTGCTCTTTCAGGGGACCCTGTTTCAAATCCCAGCATCTACATCATGACTAACTATATATACATCAAGATTTGTATTAACTAGGGTTCTCTTGTGACTTCTTGACTTTCCTGACTTTTACTATGCCTCTGAAGTCGTTACCATACTGGAGAGAACCCACAGTACTACAGAAGAAGAGTAGCGTAGTGCTTCAGGGTGCAGCCTGGAACCCAGTTTGGCGCCCCATCCTGTTATGTAGCTGCTATAACCCTGAGCAATTTGTGTACTCTTAGTGACCAACTCAAACAATGCCAGCCTGACTGTACTGCTGTGAAAATGAGATAGAGTAAGTGGTAAAAATGACTATATTTTTGGCATGTGATAAACACTAGAGATAAATTCCACTTCTTAGATCTGGCCCTTCAGAATTGTCAATTTTTTGAAGCCCAACAGCTAGTGTCTCCTCTCCAGCCTTCATGTATCTTAAACAGTCTTGGAACTACAGTGTCAGAGATTTCCACTCTCTTCCATTGTTACCCTAGCATTCACCAGCGGAAAGGTAAATGTTCTCTAGTACTTAGCAGGCCTATCTTTTAGTTCTGTCTGTGTGTGCATTCTCTGTATATTCCATGATGTTGTCTGGTTTGTTATCTGTTCCCTAGCGTATTTGGAATTCATAGTAGGTTTAAGTGAAAAATATGGATAGTGATCAACTAGATAATTAATTTCTAAGAAATTTCACTTTCCATCTTTAATTTCATAAATTTCTCAAAAGAAAGTACTTGGATATTGTTTTTAGCAAAAAAATAATAATAACCAGAAGATGTTTTATTCTAGAATTTCTGCAAGGGAGGAATGAAGAGTGCATCACTGAAAGATTTATGTCTTGAAGACAAAAGACGCATTGCTAACTTAATTAAAGAACTGGCCAGGTGAGACAAAACTTACGTGGGATGCATCTATAGGTGAAACAACTCATTTTGGGGCAGAACATTGCTAATCCATTTGAGGTCTGTGGTGGCTTCAGTAAGAACCATCCCCACAGGTTCGTTGATTCAGATGCTTGGTCACCAGGGAGTTGTTGGAAGGACTAGGAGGTGTGGCCTTGTGTCAGAAGCTCCGGCCAGGCCCAGTGGTTGTATCTCTCTTCCTGCTGCCTGCAGATCTGGATGTAGAACCATGTCTATCTGTTTGCTACTGTGCTGATAATGAACTAAACCTCAGAAACTATAAGCAAACCCCAATTGAATGCTTTCCTTTTTAAGAGTTGCTCTAGTCATCGTTCTCTTAACAGCAGTAGAACACTGACTAAGACAATGGCATTATTGCCATTAGTCTTATGGAACTAGACTTACAAAAAAAAAAAAAAGATTTTGTATTATCCACATACCTGCCTTCAAATGCTTACTCCCAATGACCTAACACCTCACAAGGCCTCACCTTGTAACATTACTGCCACATCCCACTAGTAGCGTAGATTGGGAACCATCCATGTTAAAACTATAGCGGCATTGCAGGGGAGACTCACTTACACTATTCAGCTGTACTTTTGCTCTGAACTTACCATGACTCTATTAAGGTGCATCTGAACAGTGTGCCTCCATCCACTATTCTATAATACTCTAAAGGCTACTTTATATTTCCCAAAGTACTTTTATATTTATTATCACATTACTATCACATTCTTACTGAAGATGAATTATTATTAGTATAAGACTTGATAAATTTTATTTTATTCTAATATATAACTCTAGGAATCACAGAAATGAAATAAAGTAGAAGATGATCTTTTTATTTCTTAAGAAAGAATAACTTTTTATTCTGAGATAACGGTAGATTTTATTGCAGTTGTTATAAATGTTGAGAGAACTTATCCACCCTTTACCCAGTGTCCAGTGATTATAATATTTTGATTAACTAGTACAATAATATTACAACTAGAAAACTTACATTCACAGATTTAATCTGTTATGTACAGAGATCACCAGTTTTACATGTATTTATTACAAATTTGTCCAAAATCACCAGTCAAAATTCTAAGTAGTTCTGTTACAAGGATTTTTTTTGTTTTGCTTTTGGAGGTGCTGGGAATTGACTTGGGCCTTATACATGGTAGGCGAGTGGTAGACTACTTTATTTGCACTTAAAAATTTTTGCATGTGTGCACATGTATGTAGATATTCTTGGAAGCTAGATTCCCAAGACCTGTAGATGATTGTGATCCACCTAACATGAGTGCTGGGAATCAACTCCAGTGTTTGGGAAGAGCAGCAAGCACTTTTAACCTGTGATCCATCACCTCAACAGCACAGATACTTTCTTTCCTGCCTATTTCCTTAATCCCAAACTCTTGTTAATCTGTTCTGTATTGCTACAGTTGCATCTCATAAAAAAAAAAACTATATAAATTGGATCATATATTTTATGCCTTTTTTGATATCAGTTATCTTTAGTTGGTATAATTTTTTGAAGCCATTCAAATTGTATGTGTTTCAGTACTTTTTTCCCCTTTTTATTATATTCCTTTTGGTATAGAGGTGCTAAATTGATTAACTGTCCATCTGTTGGGAAACATTGTAATTCTAGTTTTTGACAGTTAGAAATGTAATTGCTATGAGCTTTTCATGTGCACATGGAAGTTTGATTTCTTTATGAATTAATATGCTTGGTTTTATAAGAAACCACATTCCAAAAAAGGTTGTTGCCTTTTATATTCCCACCAAAAATTCAATAAATTAGGTGTTCTGAATTATAGCTTCCAAATTTGTACAGTTTTAATTTTATGAGTCTCATTGGCATTTATTGATGTCTTAGTTAGTTTGTCTTTCTATAATTGCCAGTGACAGTGAACAGTATTCCTGTGTATATCTTCACTTGAAGTGGGTACATTCTTTTGGCCATATCATATCAGAATGTTTGCACTTTTTTTTTTTTTTTTTTGACTTTTGGTTGGATATGTAGTGTAAAATACTTTCTTCTCCTCTGTGACTTGTCTCATTATCTTCAGGATCTTCCATAGTCTAAAAGCTTTAACCTCAATTAGATGAATTTGTCATTTTTTTTCTTTGTAGTCATTGATACATTTGAGTAGGTTTTTGTGTTATAAGTATGTCTAAGTTGAGTTTTGTTGGTGGTGGTTTTATTGATGTCTACTTACATCAGCACCATTTATAGAAATATTTTTTTGTGTTTCTGTGAGAAATCAATAGGAGCTTATTTGTATGCTCTTCCTGGGTTCCTGTCTTGCTTTGCTCTGCCTGCCTGTCCCTCAACCTTTATTACTATACATGTACAGTATAGAAAACCTTAATACTGAGTAGAGTGACTACTCCCGCTTTTTGTTTGTCAGAAAGACCAGTGCTATTCCTTTCTGTAATAACTTTGACACAATCATGCCATTGCTGGTAAAACAAAAACAAAAAACTCCACTTACATACTAAGAGGTATTTCATTAAACTGTATATCAATTTTGAGGAAGAGCTAAAAAATCTTTGCTGTGTTATATCTTCTAATCCATTAATACATTTATTTGTTGCATTGATAACACATTAAGGAAAGAAAATATAGGAACCTCCCTTTGGATTAGTTTGACCAAGAATGACCCCCAATTTGAATTGTCACCTTCTGTCCCTGTGTCTTGTCTAACCCATAGAAAGGGGTTTTGCTCTGTGCTTATTGAACTGCACAGAAAATGTGATATGGGAAAGGAGCAAGCTGTTCTTTACAGAACTCTTTACCAGAGTTTCCAATGGAAGGGGTTACTTTACTGACTCCGTAGAATCCAAAATAAGTACTCCAACTTGCAAAAATATGTTACCAACTTATATCACAAATTGTTTCCAGTAATTATGGGATATTTTATTTAAGGTTGTTTTCAATGTTTTGGCTATTTTGGCAATGATTACAACAACACACATATACATTGTTCTGGGTTGGGGTATGGAAGACTATATAACTTAAGGTTAAAGCTATGCATTTAACTTAGGTTGTAGACACTGATTTCATAGAACATCTAAGGCACGGTAAAGTTGGTTACATTGTTCTCTTAAACTCAGGCTAAACTTAAACAGGCTGAGCCTCCAATAGGATAACAGGCCCAGTATATAGACTTAAATATCTCAGAGCATGTTATTAACTTGGCTAAGGTACTGCAAAAGTATAGTCGCTTTGGGGTCAAGAAATATTTTTAGAAAATTTACCATCACAATATGTCTTCAATTACAGATGTTTAATTTCTTCAGTAGCTGTTTTTAACTTTCAGAATGTAGATCATGTAAAAGTTTTCTCGTATTTACACTTAAATATTTAATCTTTGGGAGCAATTGCAAGTGGAACTTTGGTTTTTATGTTTTTGTTTATAGGATATAGACATGCGATTGAGCTGTGTATTTTAATCTTAATTCTAACAACTTTAGTTAATTTACTGATAAATTCTAAGGGTTTGGCTATTGATTCTTAGAATTCTTCTCTGGCTACAGTCATGCCATTTGTAAATAAGGACACACATGTTATTTTCTTTGCAGAATGTATTATTTTCCCCTTTATGGTCCTAGCTCAACTTTTCAGTGAAAATAAATAAAGAAGGTGAGGGATTATATTTTTGCAATGTTTTTTTTTTTAATTTTAATTTTAGGTGTGATGTGTTTAGTCTGCCATCAGACTTGTTGTTTTAGGTGCCTTATGGTATTGAGGACATTTCTCTCTATTTCTGGTCCTTTTTGTTACTTCTCTCTTTTTTTTTTAAGAAATGGAATTTCACTATGTTGCCCAGTCTGGCTCCAAATTCCCGAGTTTCTGCAAGACTCATTGTGCACATCACCAGTTCCTGCCCAATTCTTAGTTTTTACTCTGCTTCCATGATAGATTTTCTGTTTTTTCCATGTCAATTGGTATATAGATTTCCTTTATCCTATAATATTGTGGGTTACACTGACTGAAGTTTGCCCATTGAATTACCTTGAATACCTGTTGTAAATTTTATTTATTTTAATTATTTTAATGTGTTAAACAGCTTGATTTGATGTTTTGAACTTTTATAGCAAAGTTCACAAGAGGTATTTGTCTTAAGATTTTGCTTTTGTGCTGTGTTATTTTGGTTTGTATCATGGTGATAGTAATCCCACCATGCATATTAGCAATTTACCCCTTCTTACATTTTCTGAAAATGTAGGAAATTGGTGTTTGGTTGATTTCGATTTTACATTTTAGAGAGCCTCTCTCTCTCTCTCTCTCTCTCTCTCTCTCTCTCTCTCTCTCTCTCTCTCTCTCTCTCTCTCTGTGTGTGTGTGTGTGTGTGTGTGTGTGTGTGTGTGTGTATCAATCTGGCTGAAACTTGTGATCCTCCTGCCTTAGCCCTCTAACTGCTGGGATTGCATGCATATGCCATCAAGCCTCTTTGGAAGTGGTGTTAGTTCTTAAATGTTTGTTAGCATTCTTCAGTGAAATGGTAAGGGCCCAAAGATTTGTTTTTAAGGAACTTTTAAATTAAAATTTTTATGTATTTAATTGTTTTAAGAATATCATATTATCTGTCTATCTTGGTTAAACATTAGGAGTTCTTAGGATATTTTAAAATTAAATTTTATTTTTATTTTGTGTATGGGCATTGCCTGCATGTATGTTTTTATACCCTTGTGTGCCCATGGAGGCCAGAAGAGGTTATCAGGTCCCTGGAGAGTGCTGAGAATGATGAATAGGGTCCCCTGACAACTGTCCAGTGCACTTAACCTTGGAGCCATCTCTTGATCCAAAAAGGGAGTTTGTAATTTTTTTTTTAGAATTGTTTCGTTTCTTCCAAGTTATCAAATTTGTGAGCATAAAGTTAATAGTATATTGTCACTATTTCACCAGTGACCAGTCTCTGCAGCCCTTCATTTCTGACAGTAGTGACTGGAATCTTCTCTCTTTTATCTTTGTCAGACTCATTACTTTT